CTTGGCTAAGAGCTTCTAGCCAGAGAGGGATGTGAAGCTACAGAATGTGGCTTCAATGGAATGCTCTAAGAGTCTGTCTCGAAAGTCTGTCAGAATAGAATATGGAAGTAGCTAGCTGGGAAAGGAGGTCTGGAAGGTATGAAAGAGCTGTGCTACTGCTCTGTTAACATCTACAGGGTGGCTCCTGGTGAACTGCGGAGATCCACTTGAAGGTAAGAGCAAAGGATGTGAGAACACATAGAAATAAAAGGATCAAAATAGATCCTGGCTGGGACTGAGTGGAAGAATGGGGAGCTCTGGATTCCAGAGTACTATTATAAAAGGTTGAAGATGTAAATGCTTGTACATAAAGAACTACATACTGAACCCTTTCCTTAGGCCTTTCTGTAACTGTAATTCCACGTATCCAGGATAAAGGTACTGACATATCAACTTACATGCAACATTCTCACTGGCTTTTCCTTATTAAACTGCAAGATTATATAATTGTGAAATTCCCTCATTGTTAATTCCCCACCTCTGTCTGTGTGTGGGGGGGGCGGGGTTTACTAGGACTTCACACATTGAGTTATAGCCCCAGAAATTGTAGGTAGAAAAGAAGCCATCCTCTTTCTGAAGCTCTTCATAAGCCATTTCCAGTCTGCCTGGCCTTTCATTCTTTCTTTCTTCCCACCTGCTGCCTGTGTGTGCATGTGTGTACATGTGAGGTTCCTTGCCTTCATTAATTCATATACCTGTAACTGCCAGAAATCCTTGATAGCCTCTTGCCAGCATATTGTGAAAATAGATTGAGATTTGGTTACTGTCAGGAGTTTTCAAAATAAATTCTTTTGTTTCAGATGATTCCAAATTCTCAGAAGCGGTGCAGACTTTGCTCACCTGGATAGAGAGAGGAGAAGTGAACCGCCGCAGTGCCAACCACTTCTATTCCATGATCCAGTCAGCCGGCAGCCATGTCCGCCGCCTGGTGAATGAGAAAGCTGCCCATGAGAAAGAGATGGAAGAAGCAAAAGAGAAGTTCAAGCACGCCCTTTCTGGAATTCTTATTCAATGTAAGTGGGAGTTAAAGTTCTGCTGGAAGGCTGAGAGTCCTTCACTTACTCACCACTTGCCCTACACAGGATCCAAGGCCTGCAAAGCTATATATTTCAGGTGGCTAGGTAACCTTCCTAGCTGCCTTGTTACTCTCCTTATATCAGTGTTTCTCAACCTTCCCAATACTGCAACCCCTTAATGTAGGTAAGCAATAGCTTATCCTTTTACAACCCTGGTCCTCAGTAAAGGATTAGATATTTTATTGCTGAAGTTAGAATATGATGTTAGGATTTTATGGCAGTGTTTCTTCAGATTTACATGATTATCATCATGTAATATGCTGTTTTAGGAACTTGTGGTAAGAAATAAGATTATATTTCCCAAGATGATTGCATAAAAAATAAGTTTGCTACTTCTATATTTTCAATTTAGTTTTCTCCCATTATCTTCACTAGATATGATAGTCACCATAAAGGCAAGAAGCCATTGAAATGGCCATTTCTAAAAGTTATATCACTTCAGACCTATCCAGGTTCTCTTCAATGAGATAGATCAGATAAACAAACACTCCAGTAATTTCTTTTTTTTTGCCACGTAACAAAATTATATGATCACATCTTTTCAATAAGGAGCTATATTCACCTCAAGAACCAGGGCAGTTTTATGATTTTGCTTTTAAGCAATTATGGTCCACTCTTCCTATACTTTTCTCTCCATACTTGACTCATATATAATTGAGATTAAGGAGTTTCTCCACTTTTATTCATATTTTGGAAGTATATATAGACATAAAATCCAAGAGGGGAAAGCACATATCTTCAGGACTTCCCAATAAGTGGAAAAAGAAAGCAGCAAGAATTGTGAAAATCTTTAAATCATTAGAACACAGTGAAAACATATCTGCAAAGAAAAAAATAATCCTGTCTCTGAATTTTTTTGCTGTGAGAATCAGGGGTTCTGCTGCTTTTGTTTCTCCCAAAATGCTAATATCCAGTCTTCTCTTCACTTGAACCAGAGAGATGGCCCAGCAGGTTAACAACTTAAGTCTGATCCACAGAACCAACATGGTGGAATTAGAAGACTAGCTAGCTCTCACAGATTGCCCTCTGACCCACACACACACACACACACACACACACACACACACACACGAAATAGAGAAAAATCCCCAAAGATTTGTGTGTGTTTCCCCTTTTAACATTTTAAGGGGCCTTGAAAGAAATTCTCTAGGATTGCATTCACAAAGATTTCTTTCATAATTTTTTCTCTAGTAGGTATATTTAATATAGACTCAACCATTTTATATTTTGATTTGATGCTTCTGGTTAAACATATGTAAGAATAGTGAAAAACAAATTTTCCTAATTTTAAGTGGTCCACTTTATTTCAGAGGGCTACTTAATTAAAGGACCCAGTGAATATGAGTAACACACAATCATATAAATGTATGAAAATGTTATAGTGAAGCCCATTGTTTTATGTTTTCTACAAGTTAATTTATAATAATATTAAATAAATTAAATAAAAGTACCCAGTATTATAGTTCATAGCACCCAACTAAATACAAAATTTGAACCTAATACACTTTTATTCTGACTCTTGCTCTTTTTTTGCCTAAATGAATACACAATTTTTATATTAAAAGCTCTGCTAATTATCTCACCCAAACTGGGTGTTTCTTCTTCCTGTATATTGATGTCTCTTTCCTTGAGTCTCTTAAAATCATAGTTCCTGTACTGATTTGAATGTGAACTGCCCCCATAGGCTCATGTGTCTGAACTCTTGGTTCCCAGTTGGTGGTGCTATTTTGAAGGTTATGGAAATTTTAGGAGATACAGCCTCACTGAAGGCAGAAGATCACTGAGAGCATCTGTGAGGTTTTATAGTCATGCACAACTTCCTGTCTGCTCTGTGCTTCCTGATGGACTCACACTGACAACCTGACATTTCTTCCTCCATGCCTTCCCTTCCATAATTAAATGTACCCCTTCTTAAACTGTGAACGAAACTAGACCCTTCCTTCCTTAAGTTGCTTCTTGTCAGAATTGATCACAGCCATGAGAAAAGTAACAAAGTACCTTGGCCCATGTAATCTTATCCAAGTATAGTCACAGCCTGGTTTGTGTCATAACAACTTGATGAAACAAGCCTCATGTTTCTCTTTATTTTTCTCTCTCTCTGTCCATCCCTGGATGACAATTTGCCCTGATCTGACTGCTGATTTGATACTGCAGTTGAGCAGATAGTAGCTGTGTACCATTCTGCTTCCAAACAGAAGGCATGGGACCACTTCACAAAAGCCCAGCGTAAAAACATCAGTGTTTGGTGCAAACAAGCTGAGGTTGGTAACTTTCTACTCTGCTAGCTCCTTGTGGGGACTGTTTCCTTTCTTAACAAGTTATTGATTTGGAGTTTAACCAGAATTAAATAGTGCCAAGCTCCCATGGTCACAAGGCCCTAATGAAACACTGAAATGTGTTCTATACACTGTCAACATCCAGACCACCTGCTGTCAAAAGGGTAATAAATGTGCATATGTTGTCTTAAATGCATCCTGCTAGATAGAAATCTTTGTAGTGAAAATGCAGCTGGGATAATTGTAGGTTTACTTCTCCTCACTAGCTAGTCTTGAGTACAATAATAATTACTGACCTATGCTTCTTGAATTAGTAATATTAGGGCTGTCTTCCATGTATTAGTGTGCATTGACAGTCAAGGCTAGAAGCTGTCTGCTGGTACTTGGAGCAAAGAAATTTCCCAGCTTCCTTTATCAGATCTGCCCAGAAAAGAGGACTGTGATTTCAGATCAAGGTCAACATACACCCTTCTGCTTGGGCTCAAGTAAATCTTTAGCATAACACTACAGTATGTGTAATATGCTTAGGTTTACTAGCCTGAATCTGAAGTTAAAGCACATGGGAGGTTTGTTTCCAATGAGCTACCTGTGGAAATGGTTTCATAGGTATCTCAGGTTCTTCTGTGCCTGTAGGTTCTCCTTCTCTGGGCCTGATTCTTTTTGTCTGTAAATACAGCAACTTTTTCAACTTCATCTATGGTTTATTTGGCCATTCTGGTAACAAATTCGTTGTATCCATAATTCAAATCCCGTGTTCCTGTTTCTTTTTCTATGCTGGTAATTGAACTCAGGGTATTGTACATTCTAGACAGACACTGTTCCATGGAGCTACACCCTCAGCCCCCCACACTTACACTCATAAAGGGCTTTACACTGGTTATCTCACCTCAGTGTAAGCCTTACAGTCAGTGTAGTGTAGTGCAAGCTGTTTATGGACTGAGAGTCTAACAAGAATCCAAAGTCTCAGCTTCTGTTATGTTTGTAGCTTAGTGGATAGAGCAAGTTATTCATCATCTCTTAATCCCTGTTTCTTTACCTGTTAATTGGTGTTGATAATAATGAAACCAATTTTATAAGATTAAATGTCTAAGAAATATATAAACAGTTTGAAAATGTAAATGGTGTTATTTCAATTTATTATTAAACAACTCAATACAGGATAATGAGTAGGTGTAGAATCCATGCTTTGCATGTAATAAAACTGAAATGCGGAAATGTTAAATGATTTCACAAAATTATACAAGTAGGAAGTAGAGTAGAAATTATTTTCCTCTGAGCTCTGCTACAGACTTCAATGTAGTTTTAAACAGGTCATCTAATCTCTGTGAGGCTTAGTTTCCTAGCCTTTCAAATGAAGGCACTATTCTGTCCACAGTGCCCTTCTGTGAATAGGTAAGCAATTTATTTGGGAAAAGCTTAAAACCTCAACAAAC